TCAGCCTCCCAAAGGCGCGGGATTACAGGCTGAGCCACCGAGCCCGGCTCATTTTCATCACTCTTAAACCCCATACCATTAGCAGTCATTCCCAGTCCTCTTCTGCCTCCATGCCCTCACAATCACTAATCTCATTGTGTCTCCATGATTTGCCTATTCTTGACACAATATAAATGGAACCATACCGATATATGTTATTTTGTAACTGGTTTTTCTCAGTGTAATTTTTTTTTGCATGTACTAGTACTTCATTCCTTTTTAAATGGCTGACTAATATCCCGTTGTATGGATATGCATTTTATTTATCTATTCATAAGATGGTGGACATTAGCGTGTGTTCACTCTTTGGCTAGAATGAATAATGCTGCTATGAGTATTCATGTACAGAGTTTTTTCTGAATTCTCTTGGGAATATACATAGGAGTGGAATTTGCTGGGTTATATGGTGACTCCATGTTTAACTATTTTGAGGAACTTCCAACTGTTTCTATAATTTTACAAACTCACCAGGAATGCAATTTTTCCCTATCCTTGTCAACACTTGTTACTATCTTTCTTTTTTTACTTTGGCTGTACTAGTGGGTATAAAGTAGAATCTCATGGTAGTTTTGATTTGTATTTCTCTAATGACTAATGATGTTGGGCGTTTTTTTTTGAGTTGGAGTCTCACTCTGTCACCTAAGCTGGAGTGCAGTGGCATGTTTACAGTCACTGCAGCCTTGACCTACAGGGCTCAGGCAGTCCTTCTGCCTCAGCCTTCCAAGTAGCTGGAAATACAGGTGCATGCTACCATGCCTAGCCAATTTTTTGATTTATTGTAGAGACAAGGTTTCGCCAAGTTTCCCAGGCTGGTCTCAAACCCCTGCTAGGATTACAGGCTTGAGCCACCGTGCCTGGCCAGGCATGTTTTTATATGCTTACTGGACCTATGTATATGGCAATTCACATTTGGAAAAATGGCTGTTCAAATTATTTGCTCATGTTCATTTGTCTTTATTGTTTAATTGTAAGAGTTCTTTACATATTTTGGATACTAGATGCCATTCAGATATATGTTTTACCAATATTTCTACCGCTTAAAGTTGTATTTCATTTTTTTGATGTTAAAGTGCAAAAGTTGTCACTTTTGATGAAATCCAGTGTCTCTATTTTTTGTTTTACTTGTGCTTTTGAAGTTATGTCTAAGAAACCATTGCCTGAAATAAAATCAGAAAAACTTACTCTTGTCTTTTCTTCTGAGAGTTATATAACTTTAGCATTACATAGCCCTCCAATTTTGTTGTTCTTTTTCAAAATTGTTTTGACTGTTATTGATCCCTTACCATTTACCTATACATTTTTGGATCAGCTTGTCAATTTCTGCGATAAAGGAAACTGGGATTTTGATAGAGACTTCATTTAATCTATAAACACAGAGAAGTAGTGCCATCTTAACAAGATTAAGTCTTCCCAATCCATGAACATGGTGTGTCCTTTCACTTTTTTTAGCTTTTTAAAAATTTCTTTCAATCATGTTTTATAGTTTTCAGTGTATACATCTTGAATTTTTGTTAAATTTATTCCCATTTTTATTCTTTGTTATTATTGTAAATACTGTTCTTAATCTCAATCTTGGGTTTTCATTGCTAGTGTATAGAAACGCAATTGAATTTTGTATAGTTTTTTCAGCAAATTTCTTAGAACTTTCTTTATATATGATCATGTCATTTGCACATTGATCTTCTGCCTAGTTGTTTCTGAAAGTGGGGTATTAAATTGTACAAACTATTATTGTCATATTGTGTTTCTCCTTTCAGTTCCATAAGATTGCTCTGTTAGGTGTACACATGTTCATAATTTTTATGTTGTCCTGATGGATTGAGTCTTTTCCATTATATTCTTTCTCTCTAGTAAAACTTCTGTCTTAAAGCCTATTTTATGTTATTAGTATAGACACTTTAGTTCTCTTTTGGTGACTGTCTGCCTGTTTGTGTCTTTGACTCTAAGGCTTATCTCTTGTAGATAGCATATAGCTGGGACTTTTTTTTTTCTTTTTTGAGTCAGAGTCTCTCTCTGCTACCCAGGGCATCGCCACCTTGATCTGCTGGGCTCAAGTGATCCTTCCGCTTCAGTCTCCCGAGTGAGTCTGAGCTGAGACTACAGGTGCATGCTACCATGCCTGGCTAGTTTTTTGATTTATTGTAAGAGACACGAGGTCTTGCTATGTTGTCCAGGCTGGTCTCAAACTCCTGGGCTCAGGCAGACCCCCCTTGCCTCAGCCTTCCAAAGTTCTGGGCTTACTGTGCCCAGCCTTTTTTTTTTTAAATCTATTATCGTCACCTTTGCCTTTTGATTGGGGGTGTTTTAATTCATTGACTTTTAATGGTAAGGTAGAGTTGCCTGTTGCCATTTGTTCTGTACATTTATCTTTCTGTTTGTTTTTTTCTATTACTGACTAGTTTTGTATTGAATAGATATTTTCTAGAGTACTATTTTAATTCCCTTGTTGTTCTTTATATATATTTATACATTTTCATATACATTTTAGTTATTTTCTTAGTGTTTGCTCATAGGGATTAACAGTCTAGTTCAAAATAATAATGAAGCTAACTTCAATAATATGAAAAATTTTGCTTCTATTAAAATCCATTTCCCCCTTTGTGTTATTATTGTCATACATATTACATCTTCATATAATTTAAGCCCCCTGACAGTTTTTAAGTATTGTTTTATGTGGTTGCCTTTAAATCCAGAGAAGAGAGGTGCAAACAAAAATATACTGTATGTTGTACTTACCTTTTAATGATGTTTTTTATTTATCTGTGTGAATTTGAATTACTGTCTGATGTCCCTTCATTTCAGGCATACTAAATCCCTTTAGTACTACTTGTAGGGCAAGTCTATAGTGATGGATTCTCTTTTTGTTTGTTTATAAATTTGGGAATGTTTTCATTTCTCCTTCACTGTTCAAAGGATAGTTTTGTTGGATATAGAATTCTTAGTCCAGTCTTTATTTCAGGTCCTTAAATATGTCTTCCTACTGCCTTCTGACCTCCAGTTTCTGATGAGAAAATCAGCTGTTAATGTTATCACATACCTTGTATGCAATGGGTTGCTTTTCTTTGGCTACTTTATTTATTTATTTATTTAATTTTTTTTTTTTTGAGTTGGAGTCTCCCTCTGTCACCCAGACTGGAGTGTAGTGGCAGTCCCGGCCACCGCAGCCTCGACCTGCTGGGCTCCGGCAATCCTTCCGCCTCAGCCTTCCGAGTAGCCGGAATTAAAGGCGCGCACTACCATGCCTGGCTGATTTTTTGATTTATTGTAGAGATGAGGTCTCGCTGCCCAGGCGGGTCTCGAACCCGCGGGCTCAGGCAATCCACTCACCTCAGCCTCCCAAAAGCGCGGGATTACAGGCTGAGCCACTGAGCCCAGCCTTTTGCTATTTTAAAGATTCTTTGTCTTTGGCAGTTGACAGCTTCATTACGATGCCTCTAGGTGTGGATCTCTGAGTTTATTTTACTTGGAGATCATTAAGCTTCTTGGAAGTATGAATGTGTTTTTCATCAAGTTTTGGGACATTATTTTTTCAAATACTCTTTCTATTCCTGTTTCTTTCTCCTCTTTCTTGGACTCCCATTATTGTTGTTATGCTTGATGCTGTCCCACAAGCTTCTGGGCTTCTGTTCATTTTTCCTCATTCTTTTTTATGTTTTTCAGACCGAATAAGCTCAATTGACCATCTCAAGCTCACTGACTTTTCTTTCTGCCAACTCAGTTCTGCTGTCGAGCCCTCTAGTGAATTTTTCATTTCAGCTATTGTACTTTTTTTTTTGAGTTGAAGTCTCACTCTGTCACCCCGACTGGAGTGCAGTGGCCACGCCCGGCCACTGCAGCCTCAACCTGCTGGGCTCTAGCGATCCTTCCGCCTCAGCCTTCCAAGTAGCTGGAACTACAGGCGTG